TTGAGTGAATTTGAAAAATGAATGAGATATTTAAGAATCTGAATGACTCTATAAAAAACTTTATAATGAGCTATCAAAACATACATAAAGTGTGTTAAACTGTTCAGAGTGTAATGAAGCTAAAGCCAAAAATTAGGTAAGACTGGTTGGTTGGTTGGTTGGTTGGTTGGTTGCTTGGTTGATTGGTTGGATAGATGGATGAATGGAAAGCAAGAAAGAAGGAAGAAAGGGAGAGAGAAAAAGAGTAAGGAAAGAAGGAACAGAGGGAGAAAGGGAAGAGAAAAAATCTTGAAAAGGAGAGCTAAATAAAGGAAAAACAGAATTTGTAGAGGATAAATACTGTGTGATCAATCAGAATTTCTTAACTGTTTCTTTGCTTTCATCTTTATCATTCTCTTCAAACTATGATGTGGGTATGAGAGGTTTGAGGAGATGGTGTAAGAACATCAACTTGCTTTAAATGAATTAGCTTTAAAATTTTTATTATGAAAAGTTTCAAATTCATATAAAAGTAGAGAAAATATTATTTAGTTCTACCCTTAATTATTTACCCCTAACCCCCACTGTATTATTATGAAGCAAATCTCAGACATTATTTAGATGAGCTGACTTTCCATGTTTTAAAGAATTATATCCCAGTGATAGAATAATGGAAAAAACACTATCCATGATTTTGAGGAAGAACGAAGAGGACATTGCCAAAAAAAAAAAAAAAAAGGATAGGGAAAGGTTGTACTCCTTTTTTATTAAAAAGGGAGACTATAGATTCTTGAGAATCTAAGGTATAAAGGTTTCATGATAAATGGATTTTTTTTCATATCATGAGGAAATGATAGTGGTAATCCTACACAATTCAACATGCTAAGAACAAAGATTTCTCTATTGACTTCATTTCCTTATTCATTTATTCAAATTCCATCTTTTTTAAAGAGGAATCAATTCAACTAATTCCCCTTTTTAATAAGGCTACTAGACTGTTAGGAAAATACCATAAGATAAAAATGAACCTTAATTTTAGCAAGATACTAATAGACAAAGTCTCTTAGGTTGTGCATGTGGAGAAACGTGGGCTGGATCACTATATAATTAGGTAGATTTATAGTGTTGTGCCAATGTCAGGAGGCTAAGAAATGGGCCAACAACTTGGAGGATGGCTCTAGTACTACACTGGAAAAGTCTGTTTGTAGCCGTGGTCAGGTCCTTGGTTTTAAGCAACAACTTGGATGTGGAAGACATGCATCTATTCCCAGGGAGGCTATGAATTTATAGACTTTAAAGAACAGACCATACATGTAAAACTGATTCAAGTTCATGGTTTATTGGGGCAAGCACAAAGAAATTTATTTTAACAAGGTGCATAGAGCAAGAGTCTGCACACCATATTTCAGGTCAGTTTTGTTTTGTTTTGTTTTGTTTTGTTTTGTTTTTTTCATCCCAGAAGTCATTATGGACCTGTTGCCACTTGCATTGTCTGTGCAAGGTAGTGTGCTGCTGTATCTGTAAAGCTGACTTTCCTTTCTCACCATATCTTTTTTAATATTCAGAGCTTCCCCTCAGCCAGGAAGAATTTACTCAAATAGGAAATATTCACAGACCTCTGGACCCATTCCTGATTTTTAAATAAAATAGAGGGTCAGTTAAGTTCACATCGTGACAGGGCAGGTGAGCAGTCAGTGCCTCCTCTTCCTAAGCATCATCTCTATTCCCTTCTTTACTCCATCCTGGAGAGGTGCACCTTTGCAAAATTGCCCCTAGGACCTCAGTGAAGGAGGTGCAAAGGAGCCAGTGTTCTTATTGTCAGAGGATCAGGTGTTGCCAGAACTAAGAAATTTAATTGTGTGCTGCTTCGCAGTCCTTTTAGGCTTAAATCATTCTTGAAGAATTTACACAAATAATCTATGTCCCTAATGTCTTCTTTGAAAGGATTACTTACAGATATTGAGACTCTCCTGATTGTTGAGCCAAACTCAGCATCAATAAAACGACAACCTCATCCAGGGGAAAAGGCAGATTTAGTGTTCAGGTGCTTCTGATAGTTGCTCTAGCTGGTTATCCAGCATCCTAGAGTACTCATTTTCCACATGAGCCTGTCAGGTTTACAGAGAACATGAAACTGGGAAGCCCCTTTGAAATGCCAATGACAAAACCAAAATTTTTTAAAATATCAGAAAGGCTAGAAGCATGAGCCAAATATTAAAAGAAACTAACCAGATACATGTGAAATTCTACCTTTAGCCCCCAAATAAGCATTTAAATAGAAAACAGAAAAGATCTGACTTAATATAGGTACATATGATTTTTTTAACTAGATATTTAATGAACTGCAGGCTTAATAAGAACCCAAAGAATGAGTCATCTATAAAAACAATTATCAGTAAATGTTCTAATCAAAGGTGATAGTAATTCCTTTCTTTATATTCTATACTGGTGAGGCAATGGCTGTGGCATTTGGGTTAATTTTCTATATATAAGTATCATTTTAAGGAGACATTAACCAGGCATAGAATGGATGACTAGAATGGTTAAGGGTCTCAAAACCTTGCCTGATTATAATGAGAATACTAATAGTGTCCATGTATTGCAGTCCTATTGTGTGTCATGCTCAGTGGTAGACATTGAAATGGCTGTGCAGTCGAACAGCTTCAACCTAAAAAGTCAAGGAGAAGCTACTTCCCCAGCTCAACTCTAAACTCCATCATGATACGGACTTTTGTACATAATCTTCAGATAATAATGAAGATGGTAATAATGATAATGATAGCAGCTTCCCAATGTTTGGGAAATAAATTATCAAGTGGCAGGGAGAGAAGATTATGTGGCTTCAGAAGGGAAACTGGGTCAAATAGATTGAAGTTACAGAGAGGCAAATTAAAGCTCAAAAGGGTGCTTTTGTGCCAAAAAAAAATTAAGAAATTTTAAGAAAGGAAAAAACTGTATTAAAATTGTAAAACCCAATATATACCAATAGCAAAAGATAAATACAAGTCATGTTTGACTTCTGCAGTTACAAGAGGTGCTCAAAGTGGTTACCATCAACATCCAGACACTTTTGATTACTGCGAACTACTGTTTGAGCAACGTTGACCAAAGTGTCCACTTGTATCCATTTTTTTGGCAATATGTATGTGTATATATATACATATACACATATATACATATATATGTGTATATCTATATGTATATGTATATATGTATATATGTATATGTATATGTATAATTTCTATCACTTATTTTTGCTCAGAAATGACACAGAAAGTCTTTAAGGAGGCCCATCTGCTGTTAAGCACTCTGTATGTACCAGCTACCAAGTTACCAGCCAATACAGTTGATATTTTTATATTATTTTATACATGAGAGAATTGGGCACCAAGTAAAAACTTGTCAAAGTGCACACAACTAGGAAATGACACATAAGGCTTTATTGACTTTAAAGTTTATTTATTTTCACTAAGTTATAATCATCCCTATCATTAAAAATAATCTTACATGGGCACTGGCTAAATGTCTACCTCTTGAGAACATGTTTAAGGGAATTCCTCGATTGGGTGAGGGTAAGTCCTTACCTCTTTTATCCTTCAAGTGCTCAGTATCAATGAACCTGTTTGTCAAATAATAAACTTTCATAAGAATGAATGTTTAATTATCTGCCTTATAAAACCATAAAGTAATAGGATATTGATAGTATTTTTAAATGAATAGGAAGAAACCAGTTTGAATTGAAGGAATGCTAAATGCTCTCTCAGTGAGGGATACTTGCTAATTCACCCTAAGTTTCATTAGGAAAGCACTTAATTGTCCTCCTAATATAATTACTTACAGGCCAGTTAATTTACTTGTTACCCTATTATATTCTGAAGCATTTATATAGCACTTTTACTGGTGAAGAGTAAGTTCAATACATGTCAAAATACACCTGTGTGCCTTTATATCCATTATAAAACATAAACATGGACTTAAAGAAAGCCAGGTATTTAGAAGCGGAGAAGAGTGGACATTTGTTGGAAGTCTAGCATGTTCTGAACACATTCTAGAGATTAGCTTCTTCAGAGGAGGGTGGGAGGATTACTAGAATGTCAGGTGCTATGTAACAAGCAGCCCATCATAGGGGATTGTGAGGAGACCAGCCCAAGCCTGGCAGAGGTTCTGGGGTGGAAAGTAGTGGGAACTATCGTTGGGTAGATGGGAAGGAAGGAGCCTGGAGAGGGGCTTGGGTTCTTAGTAGAACATTCAGACCTGGTTCTATAGACACCTCAAGCCACGCTGGATTCCTGAGAGGAAGAGGGCAATAGGAAAAGTAGTTCAAGGATAGGGAACATGTTTCTCTATGTTAGAGAGGAACTGGGAGCCACAAGGCAAGAGTCGTGGTTGTTTTTAGAAAGGACTCCCCTCTGAGGTTCACAGAAAAGCTTTTGGGAAAGATACTAGTCATAATGATGAATACTTACATCGTACTCCCCAGGTGCCAGGCGACGTCCTCCATGCTTTAGGTACCATCGCTCATTTATCCTGACAACGACCTATGAATACATAGTAGTATGATCATCATCTCCCTCTTCCAGATGAGGAAACTGAGACTTCTAACAATTGGCCTAAGATCAGGCAGAAAAGATGCCCGACATTCAGCACGTGCTCCCTTCACAGCCTTGCTCTAATGACAAATCACAGTGCATTTTAAAATGTTTATAGGATGATATTACTCTCTGATGATCTTACTAGCTGTTTAAGTCACAGCTTGAGCAGATTGGTCTCTGAAGTGGCAGATGCCACAGGGCTGAGGTGGTATTCCTTGGCCTTTGACCTCCAGTGTTGATTCCGTGTGCTCTCCTCCCCTAGAGCCTGAGGGACATGGGACAGACGTTTTTAAGGCTTAAAGTTATATTTACATGCTAATAAAAGCAAAATTGAGTGTATGGGTTCTATGTTGGGTTGTTTTATTTATAAACGTTGTAAATTCCTTTCCACACACATGGCATACCATATGTGCACGTTTTCCCTCCCAGGGGCTCAAGATCTGGACCGCATCCGACTCTCCACATACAGAACAGCCTGCAAGCTTAGGTTCGTTCAGAAGAAATGCAATTGTAAGTATGCCGATCGTTTGGACTAATTACCCTCACGAATCTTATAGTTTACATTTGTTATTTAGTTTATTAAAACTAAGTTTTCTTGCGGGTGTTGATAAAGATATGTTTACACAACAATAAAAGAGTATTATGATACACAAATGGTAGAGAGACTATTCCCAAGTAACTCTGGAGGCTTAATTACTCTAAATTGCTAAAGTATCCCATCTTGCCATTGGAATGGTTTCAATCTGGATGGATATTTTTCTTCTTTTCTCTGTTCTTGGTGTTGTAAATGCAGTGCCATCAAAATGGTTTTCAAGAACTTTACAAAATATCAAACATTATGTCCTCCTCATATTTATTTGTATTTCCTTTTCAAGCATAGAGAAATGCTTATAAGCCTCTGGAAAACAATCAAATTTCTTTCTGAAACTAGAAAATTCGTCCTTTGTATCAGAGTATTAACTATATTTAATATATAGTTAGACATAAGAGAAGAGACAACAATACTTAAAGAAACAAAGGCATCCGCTTCAGCTTTTTCCCAAATTTTCAAATGTAAGCAGCAAATTAGATCGCTAATCACAGTGAGCAGATTTACATTGGCTGCTGGGTCACTGCTTCCATCATATTACTACATTCATTATCTCTTGGGGGGAAAAAACATTACGTTTTTGTTTTTTTTCTGAAAGCTGACTGCTGTAAAAAAAATTAATAACGCTTTCTAATTAATAGTGGATGAATTTAAAAATGAAACCCATAATGTGCCCCTTGGTATGTACACATAGTTTTTGAATAACTACCATGGAGAGTAGATACTTGGTGAAGATGGACACCAGCCATGTGCACATCTCTACCCTCCCAGAGTCTCGGGCAGATGTTTCTGGGGGCGCTGGGCAGGCCACGCCCAGCCCTAGGCGTCTAGGCTTGCAGCGAATCATGGCTCTGGGGATGGGTGGTGTGGATCTGTTCCTCAAGTGATTCATCTGTGGCTTATGCTCCAACCCCGCCCCAGTGGCTAGAAACGAGGCTGAAATTCGGAGCAAGAGAAGAAGGTAGAAAATACACGGGTTGCTCAAACATCAAAGGCATGTTTTCACTCCTCACAGAAAACGGAACCAATGCCCTTTCCCCCCCACAACCAAAACCAACCAACCAAACAACAACAACAAACAGTGAGAAAACTGCTACAGATGTGACAAGGAATCTGTGGTTGTATTTGCAGTCCTGGCTATTGATGTGTCAATAATTGTGTGTCAAATATTGCTGTGTCAAGAAAGGGCTTTTATGCCCTTTCCAGGTGTTAAAGGACAAGGAAAATGCTCCCATTGAAGCAGAGCTGTCCTTCTCCCTCAACCCTACCATTCATATTTAAACAAAAGGGGAGAATCTCCATGCTTTGGGCAATGAAAAGTGATGGGATCCTCCCATTTTCTTACCTCATTACCAGTGGCCCTCAGAATAGAGGGGAGGGGAGAAGGAGTCGGGATAGGAGTTCTGTCTCCTTAAAGAATTGCCAAGTACAGCCTTCCTTAGGCTACTTTCAGTAGAAATAGGGAATTTCAAAAAGACATTGCAAAATGATAAGGATGAATAAAGGAAGGGAGGGAAAGAAGGAGGAAGGAAGGAAGGAAGGAAAGGTGAGAGGGAAGGAGGGAGGGGAAAGAAAAAAGACTCATGTTGATTTGTCAACCCTGCGCCAAGGGCACACACTATGTTGGCCCTAACTGAATCCGGCAAGGCCATATTCCACGCCTTCTGCTCTCTGATAAAGGCCCTGTCTCTTTCTTGGGCATATCTTTCTCCATTTCATATTCTTTTCTGGCCCTTATCCTCACCCTACATCCAGAATCGTGGCATCACACTGGCCTTCTTAGAAAACAGTGGGAAAAAGTTACCATCTTGGAAAACAGTAATAGTCCATCCCTGGGTGAAAAGAAAACCTTTATACCTGTCCCATTGCCCTCAGTGCATCCATTCATTTACCTCTTAATTTAGCAAATTTATAATGTGCTTCTACTATATGTTTGGCATTGTGCTAGGTACCAGGGATAGAGAAGTGGTGAATAAGATGCAATCCCTACCTTGAAGTTGCCCAAAGTCTAAGTGGGTAGATGGACTTTAAACAGACATAAAACAGTGTGGAAGTGTAATGACAGGAATATGTACATGGCATTGTGGGAGTGCCAAGGTGGCAGGGCCCTGACCTGGGTGTGGGGGCCTCTGAGAGGAGGGAGATATCTGGGCTGAGTCTGAAAGAATTAGTAGACATTAAGCAGAGAGTGTTATTTGCTTTACAAATTTCATACATTTGAGGACAAGGAAACATAATACATTCTATACAAACTAGACAAAACTAAGGCTCAAGGAGGAAAAACAAGCATATGTTGAATGCTCTGCTAAAGTTAAGGTTCTTTTTCAAATTGTTTCTACCTTGATCAGAATTGTTAAATGCAAGTACTATATATATATAAAACTTGCTGAGTTTTCCTTTCTGACAATAAATATAAGAGTTGTGATTTTGAGGTACTTGCAAAATGCTAACACAAGTGAGACTGGCTTTTTTTAATCAAAGTTAGAGCCTTCCTTTTTAGGAAGATAACCAGTAGCACTGGTGTTTATGTGACGCAATATTCATCAATATTGAATATGCATCCTTATATTAGAGAAAGATCATTTTTGTTTGCAATACAACCATAGCCCACAATAAATTATGGTACTTTATAATGGAGTTTTAATCTAAAATAAAAGAAATAAGAAAAAAAACCAGATAGTGTATCTGTAAGTGCATTGCTGTATTGGAAATGCTTACATAGTATTTACCTCATAGAAGTTGATGGACCTTAACTGAGAACAGTTTCTTTATTTTTGGTCCAGACCTAATTTACAGGAAAAATTTATTTTTTGTATTACCAAAACTAAACTTAAAAATTATATAATGGGGGGGGAGAGACATAAAAACTGATGCTTGTAAAATCACCACCTAGAAAAAATAATTATTAGCTGGATAGAGCATGGAGTGTATAGATTTTTAGGCGATTTCTTTTTTATCTAAATTTAAAGATCAGAAGTGTTAGTTAATTCCCCATATTTCCTTCCCCACAGTTCTTGCCTACTGTGTTTTTGGTTTCCCATATAGAAAGTGTTGATTCCTATCACTGACATTCTTGTTCATTTCCTGTAATGCAATTCCTGATGGATGCTGAGAATAACTGGTTCCCAGTGTTCTGAAAAGACTCCATATAAGAGGCCAGAAAACTATGACCTGTGGATTAAATGGGCTCAGCACCTATTTTTATATAAACTGTGAACTAAGAATAGTTTTTACAGATGAGTATTTATAACTGGCTTAAAAATAGGGAACACTAAGTTATAACCCCAATTAAGCAAAATGTTATTCTCCCAAAAAAGAATTCCAATCTTCTCACTGGTAGAGCAGAATTTAAAAAAAAAATTGTACTCAAATATTATTATTTTTTATTTCATTGGCAAAAGTGTGGAAATTTGTTTTCGCTTTTGCTATATACATGCCTATATAATATTAATCCACAATATAATGGTGCCTCTCAGTTCACAAAAACATTTACCAACCTCTGCCATAAAAGAATAATTGTAAGAAGCCCATTTTTTATTGTAAGGCAAAACATTTCTTCAACTTTTCTCCATAGGATTTATTTTCCAAAACAGCTTCTTCCCTTTGTTATTCATCTTTGTGCTGTCATGCTCCCTCCCCATGCCATGATTAGCACATTCTCTAATAGAATAAAAGAATGAATGTCTCTGAAAATTAGGGGACAACAGTTGGCTATTTTATTTTCTAGCAGGAATGGGACAGAATGGAGAATACAACTAATATTTCTAATATTCCTTTCTAATCAACAGCCTTCTCTTTAGCTTCCAGATTTCCTGGTAACTTCCCACAAAAATAAATATCCTATATACCATTTATAGGCATGTGTGCAAATGGCAACATTTCAGCCTTTATTTTAAACAAATAACTGTTTTCTGCTAGAACATCATTTCCTCGGTCAGCATTGACATGGTTAATGATCCAGATACCCTGTAGTGTCAGCAGATCTTTGTAAAGAATTACTTTGAAGTCAATGGGACGCAGCCTTAAGTTTATGAATAACAAAAGGCAACAAGAGAAATAAATCAGAAATCTCAAATCCCTCCTGTTTATTAGTGGAATAAAAGTAAGGAAGTCAGGGGGTACTGTCCCCCACACCCACTGCTGACATCGCACCATCTTCTAGTTCTTCTGGTCAGAATCTGAACTTTCTTTCTATCAGTGATAGCAATTGAAATTGAGTTAAAAGTTTGTTTAAAAGGAAAGAGTGAAAAAAGTATATATGGGGTTGTTGGAAAAGTCATGATGCATTTTTGCAATGAAAAACATAGGAAAAATACATCATGACTTTTCCGACAACCCAATATTTGCATCTGAACTTTCAGAGTTCCTCAAAATATCTTTTCTCTAATAAATAAAGCATTTTTTAAAAAGTATCCTTCATCCAGATATAATTTAAGGTTGGAGTAAATGCTTTTGTTTTTAATTGATCTAAACTTCTTTCAGGATTTCTTAGGAGCCAAAAAATGCAGATACTTGTTTACCTAAATATTTCTCTATCACTGAGAAATTAACCCAAATGAGTGCTATACATGTAGAAGGTCCTAGATAAATATTCTTCTATGAATGAACAAACAAGCTCCACTAGATTTATTTTTTTTTAACAGCCAGGTGACTCGTCTTGTGCTGCACTAGTAGCCTTTAGGTATTTTTTAGTAACAAAATGCTAATATCCCATTTGTTTTTCTTCAAGCTAGTGTTCCATCATATTCCTTCTTTTTACCTCATTTTTAAACGTTTGGATTTTGGGCTGCCTGTGTCAGTTTTTTATCATTGCCTAACAAATTACCACACACTTAGCAGCTTAAAACAACACCCATTTATTATCTCACAATTTCTATAAGTCAGAAATCCCACACAGCATGAACTGAGCTCTCAGCACAGT